AAAAAAGTTCCAATTTCATAAAACTATAGCAGCAAATCGCTAAAAAGAACACAGTTTGATTAAATTCATATGCTCAAAATGAGGAGTCAGAAAAAGGCAGAAGTAAGCAATAAATTAAGAGGACAAGTTGAAGGAAGGAGGCAGGAGTCGATCCTAGGCATCTCCCCACCCACCTCATGCAGGCAGAGATTTTGGGAAATGATCATGTGCCTCCATGATCAAGTAGCTAAGCGTACCACACCATGGCTGCTCATCACCCAAGAAAGATGCCCCACCGTGACTTCTGATGCAGGGTCCCACCCCACCGGCTAGCCAATAAGAGTGAACCTGCCCCCCCAAAACAAACCCTCCAGTCTCTAACACCTGCTATGATCCTAGTTTAGATTTCTATATGCCCACCCCAACATATTCATTATAGTGCTTAGTGTGATAGAGTCAGAATCCCTGGGACATAGCTACGTTCACATATTTAAAATAACATAATAATAAAATATGAATTATCTTTTCATCCTTTTTTAGGAATGTTTGGCTGTTTTGCTTTGGTGAGATAATGATTCTGTATATGTAAAAATAGTATAAGCAAATCAGCAGGCAGCCGTTGTGCATATTAAACCAAGACTAGCTTGGCAAGAAAAAAGTACAAGAGAGGGATTTATAAGGGAAATGGAATTAAGAGAAATGTTTGAATTGTAAAGCAAAAGTGGTTGGGTGTTTGACGGGGCACTATGTGGGCGCTGGGGTCGCAAAGGGTGTATATTTTGGGGTATGAGGCACAACACAGCAACACTGCATTACATGTACAGATGATTCCCCTACTACAGTAGTAGAAAACAAAAAGAAGGGGGGCAAAAACTAGAGAGAGAGAGAGATATATATACATATATACACACACATAGGGAAGGAGAGTGTTTGAAGCCTCTTAATGGACATGATCAAGTGAGCTTTATTAACTCTCATTCACTCTGTTTCTCAGTTCACAACAAATGAGTAAAAGATGAGGATCTGATCCAAGAAGTGGTGCCTCCCAAATGTGAGACTAATAAGTGCTGTCAGATGGGAAGGTGGGGACTGCATATTTGTTTGTCATATTCCCTACAACAATAATTTTCACCTCCTTCACCCTCTCTTCAATTTCCCGTTCTCTCTCTCTCTCTCTCTCTCTCACACACACACACACACGCACACAACATACACAGTAGCGGTGAAACAGACAGCAGAAACACAAACATTTGTAGAGACGTGGAAGAGACAATAACAGTTAATTAAACCAACTCAACACGATGGAGACAGATAGGAAGAGAAACAAGGTAAGTGAACAGTACTGATGAATGGCCAATTGATGGGGGCATGCATGTTTCCTTCCAACCATCTGTTTGTGAAAACGGGAGCGGTCTCTGGCCTTAAGTCTCCGTTGATTGCGCACGCACCCATGTGACCGACCTTGGACACACCCCAGTTCATTTACCCCAAACAGCCCATATTCCTTCTCCCGCCTTCATTCCTTTTTTACCAGGCAGCAAATTTGTGTCACTAACCAACAAAATTAATCATGACCCACGATTTTTTAAGCCCTAATTATCACCTTGGTGGTGAATTTCAACCATTTTAGGCATCATGTCGCTGACTTTTCTGCTGGGAATTACGGCAGTGGAGAGTGAAAATTAAAGAGGGAAGGATCTGGGGGCTTTGTGGGATGTGATGACGAAAATATATAGCGACGTTAAACCAGAGTTGGGGGAGATTTTAGTACCAAATAGTAACACTTGCCCTTTACGAATGAGGACGGCAAAACCTAGGGACAACCAATATATGTTGACGCAGAAAGCCTCCAAATTTAGTTTCCGGTTGATTTTGATGACGTGAGTTTTTCCAGAATGGAAGGTGGGGCCCGCAAATTCCAATAGGCCAATCAGATCACCGAAACTGCCATACTACTGAGAAACTACTCAGTGCACCGCATCTCCGAAATGGAAACACACACGGTTACCGATTCTGGAGTACGGCTGCAGGAGCCAGGAAGCGTCCGTTTGTGCTTCGATTTTCAAATTAAACTTTTAGCAGTTCAACTTTCAGTACTCCATAAAATTACCGAACTTTAAATTTATCATCAAACAGTGTAACTTTCACACACACAAAAAATAATGTAACTTAATTATCTATAAATTTTAGTCTAAGCTCTTTGAAGATCTATATTTAAAACATGAATTTAATAATGGTCAATTGAAAAACTTATAGTCTTAAGTCCTAGACCTTTCAAGGTCAAAAAAAAGTCCTAGACCTTTTAAATATTTCATTAGAAATACCATCGACGAAAAATTATAAAAATATTCTGCTTTAATTGAATGATATGAAAATAAAATCTAAATACATGTCATTTTGTATAAATATAAAGTACTCTACAATAAATAGTTGCACTCGTTGGCAAAAATAAAAAATAAAAAGTTGCACTGTTTCAGCTAAAAAAAAAAGGTTGCACTGTTTAGCCAACAAAAAATCAGTTCAGTCGGTAAGAATATCGCCCCAACTTCAAACGATCGTTCACAAGTATGCTAGGCTGACTAATGAAACAAATCTATTTTTGTAATTTTACGAGTATTCACAAATAATTTTTAAAAAAATAACCAAAAAAAAACTAAAAATTAATAAATATCAAATAAAAAATATTAACAAGAATTTGTTGTCATTTATAAATTCTAAATAAAGTATTATTACTAAACATGATTTGGAATTTAGTAATTTTCAACTTCTTTTTTTGTCATTTTATCATAATTTCACACATAAGTATTTTAGATAAAACATATAGTATACACTGTAACTAAATAATTTTTAACTTTCTTAATTTCTTTAAATTAGTAAATTAGATGTTATACTAAGGGTGAATGGCAGTGATAACAATATGTGCGCGCCAAACCGACTAGATGTCAATCAAAATTAATACTACATCATTGAATATATTTTATTTTTATAATAGATTTTATTAAAAATTATCATTATTATCATATCAATAACTTGAATAAGTCCTTCGCATAGTTTGATATTGAATTAAAAATTCATATACCTAATATGTTAATTAGAATTAACATATATATAATAATATATTTCAAACATAAGAGAATTGTAATTCTAGTTTTGTAAAACTTCACATACAAAGTTTATACATTTTTAAATTACGTTATTAAGGGGATTTGATTTTGAACCCTTATGACACTTCATTATATCCCGCCCTCACTTGACTGCTTTTATTGATTTATTCTAACACAAGGATCAATAAAACCAAAAGGAAAAAAAATCTTTTGACGATATTCAATTCCAAACATTAAGATTGACAAATTTTACGTATGGGTATTTTTCTTGGTCACCTAAAAAGGTTTATGGTGTCTGGTAACTCTGGAAAAATGATCTATGAGTAGATCTCTGCATCTTAACCCAAAAAAAAGAAAAAAAAAAGCTATTACCCTTGAAGCAACAAGTTATAACAAATTCGTTACGTTAATAAGGATATACACTTGTCATAATTATTAATATTACCATTATAATCACTATTTTGAAGTTTTTATATACTTCTCTGTCTCATGTGAAATCGTGAATACGTGATGCACGAGAAAATGTATATACTTCTCTGATCCTAAATATAAGACCGAATGAGTAATAAAAACAACATATGAGACTGAAGGAGTAATAAAAACAAAATATGTATAAGAGTCTTATATTTAGGATTAAAAGAGTAATAAAAACAAAATATATTATCTAGAATACGATATGTACACACATGTATATGAGTGGTATTTTACATCTACTTCATTTTCTGTGGGCATATAATTTCAAAAACAAGTATGAAAATACATATTACTTCCAATTCTAATTATAAGATCTTATTTATAGTTTACAAATGAGGTCTTATGATTAAGACCAAAAGTAGTAATTTGTTAGAGATTTTACAGTTCGTATTGAAAGATTTATTTGGGAAAAAATGGTAATTCATGAGACGGTCACCTTAAAAAAAAAAAGGGGTTAACCCCTATTTAGTGTATATGATCTCATTTCTAGTACTGTTAATCACGATTTAATGTTAGCTGAAACGGGCATATATATAAATTAAACAAAAACGGAGCCGCTTAAAATGGTACAGAAAAACTGAAAAAGAGTGTAAAACAACAGAAAAGGAATTAAGAACAAGAAACGAAGATCAGATCATGGCAAACCAGCGTGAAACAGAGAACTAAATGAAAATGTGAGGGGTCAAAGACCGACTAAAGGCACAGTGTGATGAAATATATATCGAGAGGGAATATGTGTGGACTTTCCATGTTTATTTAGTTAGGTGCATGCTGAATTGGCAGGTAAACATATATTCATGGACAAAATTCCTAGAATACGAGTATAGAAGTCAAAGCCAAGCCTGGTTGGGCTGAGGGCTTAATGGTCTAATATACTAAAAGGATCCAAACTGAAAATATTACTACCATATTTTGTGCGTTAAGCAGGCAAGAAGAAATGAATCCGAAACGGAATGTTAGAGGAAAGTGAAAACCCACTAATATAATCACACTGTATTACGTACTCGCCCAACCTGAGAAAATATCACAGGCAGTAACCTCTGTCACATACTCCTCTCTCGTAAAAGGAACATTTACGTTCTTGGGAATTGCACCTTTCAGAATACCATGGAGAGATATTATTTTGATTTCTTTTATTTTTGGTCCCTCCCTTTTGCTCTGTGAAAAAGCGTAGCAGCATTCTAAATGAAACTGTGATTAAAAAGGAGAGAGAAAAGGGAACTGGTGAGAGGTTTTTTTTTGGGGGGGGGGGGGGATTAATTAGCGTGGCTACACGCACGGATTCAAATGAGTTATGCGTTGAGGGAAGAAGAAAGAAGAGTGATAAATTGATTTAGTTAGGGGAAGAAGCGTGATGGCACGCTTGAAATCTGTCTATTTATACATACCCCATCTCATCCCCTTCACTTGGCAGTAACAGAGTCCGTCCCTCCATCTCTCTGTCTCTCTTACTTGCTCGGCTTTGTTTGTTAGCCAATTTCGCCATTCTTTCTCGCCCTTCCCACCTTCCTCAAACAGATCGAGTGCTCTTTACGAGAGTATCTCTCTTCCTCTGCTCTTGCTTTCTTCTTCCCCCATCCATCCTCTTCTTCCTCGCTACTTACTACTACCATACCCTTCCTGTTCGTATTCCTTATAAACCCCTTTTCCACCTCCATTATGGATGGCACTCCACCGGCATCGCTCAAGTCGCACGCTCATCTGGTCGTCCATCTCTTGTTGCCTCGCCATACATTCATTGACCCGGAAAAGCAGTCGGCACAATGGTTGACATATTCGACCCTGTGTGAGATTTTGTCCCAGGTCAAATCCCTCTTCGTTCTGGCTTTTCCCATTGCTCTTACCTCTCTGGTTTTTTACTCTCGCTCCATCGTCTCCATGCTCTTCCTGGGTCACCTGGGTGATCTCCCCCTAGCCGCCGGTTCTCTGGCCATCGCCTTCGCCAACATCACCGGGTATTCAGTCCTCTCCGGTCTCGCTCTCGGCATGGAGCCGCTTTGCTCTCAGGCCTTCGGCGCCAAACGTCCCAAGCTTCTGTCTTTGACCCTCCATCGCTGCGTGCTTTTCCTCTTACTCTGCTCCGTACCCATTTCCCTCCTCTGGCTCAACATCTCCAGGGTCCTCCTCCTCTTACACCAGGACCCCCATATCAGCCGCATGGCTCGCACGTACCTCCTTTTCGCCCTCCCCGACCTCCTGACCAACTCATTCATTCATCCTCTTCGCATTTACCTTCGCGCCCAGGGAATCACCCACCCTCTCACGTTAGCCTCCCTCGCCGGCACCGTCCTCCACCTGCCCTTCAACTTGCTCCTCGTCACCTACCTCCGCCTCGGCGTGCCAGGAGTCGCCGCCGCCTCCGCCGCCTCCAACTTCTCCATTTTGTTGTTCCTCGTCGCCTATGTGTGGATGATGGGGATACACGAGCCCACGTGGACGAGACCGAGCAGAGACTGTCTGAGAGGCTGGGAGCCGCTGCTTCGGCTGGCCGCCCCGAGCTGCGCATCGGTTTGCCTGGAATGGTGGTGGTACGAGATCATGATCATTTTGTGCGGGCTGCTAGTGGACCCCAGGGCGACCGTGGCTTCCATGGGCATACTGATCCAAACGACGTCGTTGATCTACGTGTTCCCGTCATCGCTCGGGTTTGCAGTGTCCACTCGGGTCGGTAACGAGCTCGGGGCAGCCAGGCCCTACCGGGCAAAACTATCGGCCGTGGTATCAGTGTTCATCGCGTCCGCGATGGGCTTCTCGGCCACAATATTCGCGACCGCTATAAGATACAGGTGGGGCCGCATGTTCACTAACGACGACCAGATCTTACGGCTGACGTCGGTGGCACTGCCCATCCTAGGACTGTGCGAGCTCGGTAACTGTCCGCAGACGGTGGGGTGCGGCGTCGTTAGAGGACAGCGAGGCCCACCCTGGCTGCTAGCGTGAACCTGAGCGCATTCTATCTGGTGGGGATGCCCGTGGCGGTTGGGCTCGGGTTCTGGGTGGATCTTGGGTTTCGTGGGCTGTGGTTGGGCCTGTTGTCGGCCCAGGTTTGTTGCGCGGGGCTAATGTTGTATGTGATCGGGACCACCGATTGGGATTTCCAAGCCAGCCGTGCCCAGTTACTGACGTCCGTCGACGAGTCAGGGAAGGGATCAGGAGCTGATGATAATGATATGGACGACCAGAAGCAGCCACTGATGAGCGTTCCGGTTCCGGTCCCGGCTTCGTCTTGATTAATTTAACCGACCCAAAATACCACCAACTCGACATCTAATATCTGATGATTTTGATTTTTCTCCCCACCACTTTTATGATTAATATGTAATTTTTTTAGGGAAATAGTGAATGAATTTTTTTGCTTTAAACATTTTTCTTCTCCTGAGGATGGAAGGGAGAAATGAAGCAAACTGATAGATCCCGTCATTCGCTATATACACATACATTAATAATTAATGAATGTATTTGTTCGGTTTTGGATACAGATTAAATCATACGTACATAAACTCCATACATATCATTCTTGTCTCGCGGAATTCAAACATATAAGCTCGTGGCCGCTGATCCCGTGTTGCGTAAGCTGAATATGAGTGTGGTTGTAATAAATATATGTTAAAGAGTATAGAATATAATTAATTAAGAAGGATGAACAGTAAATCTGGATTATACATTGGAAGATGTAAACTCGATATATATGATTTTATTTTCATATTTGTAATGGTTTAATATCTGAATGAGCATAGAATAACGTAAAACAAAGATGGTCTGATGGTAACAAGGATGAGCACATACAAAAAGAGGGTGGTTGGGATGAGAGAGGGGGGGGGGGAGAGTGGTCCAGGGTGGTGGGAATGAGGGAGGAAGACACGTGGGGAAGAAGTAGGGAAACATGCATGGTACTGTGGGAGAGGGGGAGGGGGTGCTCAGACTGAGAAGGAGATGCCATGAAATGTGAGACCTTAATGAACGGGTGGCAGGCACATCGATCCCACTGTTACAGTTATCTTCTGAGGAAAACCAGAGAGCACTTTTTCTCGTATATCATCATTCACTGCCTGTGTCCATCATTCGTATGTCTGTTTGCTTGTCATTAACAAGCTGAGGCCATAGAGAGAGCAGTGGAGAGTGGATATATATATATATATATATATATATGCTGCGTCGACCCCATGATAGAGATCAATGAAGCGCAACAAGCAGACAGAGGTTATAATGAGAAAAGCTCCTCACACAACACTCCAATCCTTCTCCCATCAGCAATTCAGCCCAACCAAAACTCCCTCTTGTCTCTTATTTCTCCAACATCCCCCCCCCACCTTCAACTCCCTCATTTCCCATCTCTCTTGTTTTTACCCTCATCATCACTTTCCCTAGCTAACTCATTATGCCTCTCCCTCCCTCCCTCCCTCTCTCCCTCTCTCTCAAAATATCTATACTTTTCATAGATACTCATATGCCCCCCCTTTTCCTCACACGTTATTGTTCTAAGTGAATTTTAACTGCTTTCTTTTTCTATGCAGAAGCAAGTTACTTTGAAACCCTAATTAGGAGTACTCAACTACTGCTCACAAAGATGTTATACCGTGACTTTTTTAAGTTTGGGTAATTCAGAAAATCTCAACTTAAGCGCTATTTCCAATCCCTAACATAAGAGCTAGTTAAATATTCAATTTGATCATAAACATAAGATCTAATTTCACTTTATCTCATATTTATTCTTTCTTTCTAAAGTCGTCATTCTAATAGTAATACATGTTAAAAGTTCCATCAAACATTAGTTTTAACTAATATATATTATTAGTAAAGGTACTCTAGAAAGATAATACCTATTTATTATTAATAACTAACTTAACAAATTTTCTTAATCTACTAAAATTAATCAGCTAATTAATTTTTATATCAAAGACCAGAGTTAACAGTAAACAACTAGCGGCTGTGACGCAGGTACGTGGTCATCACGTGCTTCAGAATTTAGAGAAACGAAAGTGGGTGCTGAGAAAAACATTAATATGTCCTCCGCGTCTTGCACAGCACAGCACGCAGACATGAGAATTGAGAAGTCACACACGCGCACACACCATCCAGTGGTAACAGAGGATTATTGTTTCTGAGTTCGCGTGTCTCATGATGCATTATTTTAAATATATAGGCACGTCACACGCGCATATATGGATGCAGTCTCAGTTGAAACGTATGTATGTTGGGATGACCGTGTATTCAATGTTGCTGAACTGGTTGACATCATCTGAGTATTACCTCCGGTCCTTAATATAGGATCTCGTTTGATTTTTATTTTGATTCTAAATATAACATCCTAATCCACTTTGTCTTTAATATTTATATATATTTTTAAGATAATCATTCTAACAATAGTACTTGCTTAGTAAGAATATTTTAAGAAAGACAACATCTATTTATAACAAATAACTAACTTAACTCTTTTCATTAATCTCTTCAAATTAATCAATTAGCTCTTATAATTAAGAGTGGAGGTAGTAGTAGAATCTGAAAGTCAATTGCTTGTTCGATTGTTCTTTTTCAGGCAATTAAATTATCTAAATTTCGGGCAATTAAATTATCTAAATTTCCCAACCACGCCAGAAAAGAGGTTGTATGGAGGAATCCCCCCTATATTTTGAGAAAAGCCCAAAACCTTAACCCTTGGTTGTTTTGAGCGTCATTCAATGTTGTTTCTTGATTTCTTAGTTTGCCGAAGAAATAGACCTGGTTGTTTAGTAGCGCCTGTGAACACCACGTGGATTTTGATCTGCAAATCAAAGTACAAATATGCCTGAAGCAAACATAGGTACTGTGGTATGGCCCAACGATTGATTTGGGTTTAAATTCATATTACAATTTGTCACCCGTGGTATCAGCTGGTCTAGATGCCGCATTTATGTTGGGAATATTTATGTTGGCCGAAAATAAAAATGCGCAAAAACCCTATATATGTGTGTGAGTGTGTGAGAATATGTGTTTTTTTTTTTTTATGTGTGCGCCTCTCTTTTTATGTGTTTTTTTTGTTTTTTGTTTTTTGTTTTAGTAGGTCGGCTTTTTCCTATGATCAGTCATGATACGTACCATGTTAAATAGGATAAGTTTCATAATATCACAGAAAGTGGGGGAAAAATAAACAATTTATAGCCATCTATAAGATTCCTGAGGAAGCCTAGCTAGAGGGTATAGTTTGTACTAATTCTCCATATGCAGTTATAACTATAAGGTACGCCTAATATGGGGACAAGTCATGTGCCTGCACGTGAGCAGTACTTAGCCAACTATACATTATTATAATATTATGGACCATTAGCACCTTTTACGTCTCTTTACATCACAAACATGCCATTCCCCAACATTAGCTTCATGTACTAAAACATTTGATACATGTTGTTATTCTACGGTCTCGTTTAGTACAAAATATTAAAAATAAAGAATTAAGATCTAGATTGCAATAAAAAAAATTATTAAAATAGTATTTAGCATAAATAATTGCCTCTTATATGGAATTAGACAAACCCATAGAGGTGAGATTAGGGAATACCACTTCTCCCCATGGTATTCTCCAATCCCATATATATAGGTTTGACTAATCCCATATAACAAGCAATCTCTTATACTATTCTGGTCCTTAATATAGGACCTAATTGTTGAGTTGGTTTTTGTCCTAAATATAAGACTCATTTCTTATATTTATCAGTCTTCTCTAAATTACCCATATGAATACTCTCTTAACCATAATTAAATAGAAGAGGAAGAGGAGTATTAAAAAAGATGATTATGGTATTTTAGGAAAAACGTTTCACATTTCTTATAATTAAATAACTTATCTAACTTTCTTAATCTAATCAAATTAGTTAAATAAGTCTTATATTAAGGACCGGAGGAGTATAAACACTCTTTTAATATATTTTCTCAGTTATAATTATAATCCCAATCTCTCATTTTTAATGCTTCCTACCCAACATAACCTACATTCTTAAAATATATATACCATTTTAATTCATAGATATACGAGTTAATTACATAAGATAGCCTACCACATTGTAGTTTGGCTGACCACTTTCACTTTAATGCCTGTAATCTAAGCCATCATTAATCATTCCATACACCAGAGACCACTAAATATTTTTTAAATATACTACTACGGTTTATGTACCTACACATACATTATTGTGTCATATCCTGCCAGCACCCAAAAACATATAATAATGAGCATGACAATATGGGAAACAACTTCTGCCTGGTACCTTTAAATTTAGGCGCTGTGCCAATAATGAGCTAGCATCAATATTCAAAGTGATAGATGGAAACAACTAAGAAGAGAGTGACAGGGGAGTGCAATTAATGTTAACTAACAGGGAAAGCACTAGTTGTATATGTATATTAATCATTATCCAATTAATTTGCAAGATAGGTGTGCATATATATTGTATGATCATGAATTTCCGTGTGGTCACACCCTATAATTAAGATAGAAAGAAGCCTGAATGTGATTGATCGGGGCGTAGAGAGCTAGCTAGCAGCTCAATTATTTGCACAATATCACACTTAACTATGAATTAAAACAAGTGGTTGAATTGGTTCCATTGGAGGGCCATGCCTGCTTACTAATTGCTTTAATTCTCACCTTGCTCATGTATCTGTCTCTCTAGTGTTAGGTGCCGTGTGCTATCTAGCTAGCCATCTACAGGTTCTCTTCTTCTGGGATTGTGCCAGAATGAATCATCAGCACAGATTTAAAGGGGGAAAAAAAAATTAAGAAACATACATAGTTGTTGTAGTTACAGACAACATCATTTTGCACCATCATGCTTCTCACATGGCTCCTCTTTTCAGCAGCCAACCCAATCTTCTCCCTATCTCCAACCACTTTCCTTGTCTCCTTATCAATACTGTTCACTTGCCTCCTTTTATTTTCTCTACGTCTTTTATGTGCCTACTACACACACACACACACACTTCAATCTCTATTTCTCTGGCGAATAACCAAAAAAAAAAAAAAAAAACACCGTTTCACTTGGAAATCATAATCGCCTTCCAGACCCTCCTTTTGCCATCATGGCTGTCTCTGCTGCTTGAAAGAAACCCTATCATCTCTTCCCATGAAAGGCACAGACACATACATATGAATGAGGAATATGGTTGCTCTGTGTCGACCCTGCAAGCAACAACCCCCACAAAAGCCACAACCCTAGCCAGGAATATTCTGCCAAACATGATTAAAGATAGGTGTCATTCTGGCTATCTTAAAAAGCTAGCCAGGAAGGAGCGAGAGGAGCGTTATAACTTTGCATGATTTGGAGAAGCAAACAAGTGGTTTAGAAAATTTAATTTTTTTTCTATGTTCACAAGTTGGCTTGAGATGTCCCTCTTCGTCTCCACATGTTTGATCACAGTTAGGGCTCACTTACCTTCCCATCATTCTCTACCCCCTCTCAGGTCGACACTCTCTGGGACCACCACCTTTCTTTGTGCTTTCTTC